GCTAAAAATTATGACAATAAAAAAGTTTTATTAATTTCAATTTAATTCTAATAATAAAATGCAGAACAATATTTTTTTAAATTTTCTATTTACTTACAATGTGAAAAGCATTGATTGTAGTATCATCACGTGATGCGGCAATACAACCTTCATCGGCTGATCCCCCATCACACATACCAGCATACGCAGCCATGGAGCGAGCTGCACGTAAATAAACTAATAAATCACGATCTCTAACTGTACCTGATACCCAACGAGCTTCTTCTCTATCCTCTCCAACTATTCCATTCAAATTGTTAACAGTTGTTCGAAAATCTGGTAATCTAGCCTATGATTATACAATATAATTTTACTGTTTATTAAATATCATTTATAAAAATGTAAATAATAAATTACCTGATGAGATGGCCCAACTCTAATCTCCCCTTGGGTAGAACCCATTGTTCATTCGGGTTCTTTATGGTAATCACTTTTTAATCATTTTAGTAAATTTTTCTTTTATTACATATAGATTTTATCTATTAAATTAAAGAACTGCACCTGAAAATTGAATACAAAATAAGTTATATTTCAATATGCAAAGACTTAATTGTATCTACCTAGTTTAAAACATATTAAAGACTATTTAGATAGGTAAATACTTTAAATGTATTTGGGGAACTAACACAAACAAATGTAGATCGATAAAACTAATGCTTTAAATAATTGTAATTATACAATATTATCTAATTTAATGGATTAGAGTTGAAGTATTCAATTTAAGTGTTACTAATAATACATTGAAAATATCTCCTTAATTATGCTATGCTACTTAAGAGAATATACTTAATATTACTATAGCCTATAGATACTAAACAAAATAAATTAATATTAGTGAATAAAATTAAATTTAAAACAAAAGGTAATTCATAATTTTAAAAATATAACTATTATCACAAGTAATAAAAAAAATGTAAAATAGAATTTTTATAAAAATGTACTATTTAAATTAGCTAGTAGATAAGTGCCTATATTTCAATATTTTATAAACGTATAAGTAAACAAAAAACAAAAATCCAATTTAAAATTATCTACTATCCAAATAAAATATTTTATTATTTTAATTTAAAAAAGTAGATACAACTAATATATATTAAAATTCAAAACTTTAATATATAATGATTTGTTTATCCAACATTTAAAATCTATTAACCTTTTTAAAAATATTTTTTTATATAATTTCTAGTCAAAATAAAAACATTTTTTTTTTTTTCATTATTATTTGTTTTTACATTTTATTTTTTTGAATGCGCAAACATATTTATTCTCATATTATGGAGCGAAATACTTTTAGAACATTTTGTGATTAGATGAAAATATATTTTCAAAAACATTAATGTATTTTAAAATAATGAATGTTGTTTGATAAATGAATCACCCAATATTATAATAAATTTGTATAATGTATATAACACTTATACTATATTAAACTAAATACCCAATTTATAAAGTTAATTCAATTTTTTGAAAAAATATGATAATATTAAAATTAGTTGAAATACAATGATTACCTACAAATTAATAATGTAGTATTAAACTACCTATATATATATATACATTATGAAATCTGTCAGATTAGATTATAAAATATGTAGACTAAAAAAAAAATTAATTAATTTTCTTGGAGATTAGAAGTGTAAATATAATCTAAAAATAATTTTTTAAACAATCATAATCATTAAACAAATTCTTTTAAGAAAAACACATGAATATAAATACCTATTATAGGTTTAATGTTTACACCTTATTTAACAAGAAGTAAATAAAAACAATGTTTATGTTCTAAACCAGAGACGGTAACCTAGCCCATAGGTCACTTTTTTATCTAGCCTAAGTAACATTATCAAAAAATTTAAAAAATTTAAAAAATTTTAACACTGTCTACACTTTAATTAAGTTTTTTTAACATTAAAAAATATTTTAAATATAAAAATAATTGTTAATTATAAATTGTATTGACTTTTTTTTATCGTGGCTTTAAATATTTTCTGGCTTGCTAGATTTAAAAATTTAACTTTTTAGTAACTTTGAGTTTCTCATCCCTATTCTAAGTTATATTTCTAAAATATGTGAAAAGCAACAATTTATTAATACAGCTTAATTTAATATTTTATGTTTTGTATTTATCTATTTTCTAATATATTATTCTAAGATGCAATTAAGTATTATTAAATTGTACTGACACTATAATTTATAACTTATTCAATTTAGAAGTTTACTTAAAATGTTCAATTCAGATAAATTTAAAAGAAAAATTAATAAAATTATAAATTAATGGATGATACATTGAAGTTATCTAGCACCTTCTATAAAAGTATAAATAAATAAATAAATAAATATATAGAGTAATTTAAGTAGAGTGGAAATTTCATACCAGTAAAACTATTAGGTAACTATAAACATAACTTTTATTGATTTTATTGATGTAAACAAATACATAAATACTGTAAAAATTATGATTTCATAAATACATCATACATTTTTATATTGTTAATTTATTCTTTAATAAATCCTTATTGATATTTCTATCATTTTATAAGTAAGAAAAAAAAATATTAGGAAATTGCAAATTTTAGTTTAGATTTAACCATCAATCTTCTAATTGTTTAGTGTTAAATTCATTAGCTTATATTGTCTATCTATTAATTATTATAGAAAACTATTTTTTTTATTTAATATAGAACTTAACCAAACCCAAAAGATAAGATTTTGTTTTATAATAGAATAACTTTGGGTCCTATTTTGTTTTCAATCTATAAAAATTATTAACCTACATTTAAAAATAGATGGTTAAGTATTAGTTTTAACAGAAAATACAGTATTATTTTTTTAATGTGATAATTAGACTGAAGTTGAAATAAAAACTAACTTAGGGCTGCCAATGGTCAATAAATGGTTGGCTAAAAATAGTTTAATGTTAAATAAAAAAAAAGTACTTTTACTATAATGAGTTTGAACATACCAGATAACATTTTAATTAAATTACATAGAAACAAGTCTACATGTATGATTCAAATTAATATATTTAAGCAAAAAAATTATAATTTTAGTAATAAACTTTTTAGGTTATAAGAATGTATTTAATTCACTAAATATAACTTATAAATTATAACTCATAGATTAATAATTAAAATTCACAATAGTTACAATCTTAAAACAGAAAAACTAATTAAAATATCAAAAATATTTAAACTAGAAAAATCATACTACAAAAAATTTATCATAAATATGCACATGAATAAAATATATGAATTCTATAGAATATAAAAAGGGATAAATATAGTAATTTTAGATTAATTAAGCAAAAAACAGTTTTGGTGGAAAATAATTATAGAAATATAGGGCAATAATTATTTCATCAACTACTTACGTATTAATATGAAATTAATCAATCATAATATTAAATTTAAATAAATTTTGAAAAATATATAACAATGTATATGAAAATTTGACTAATTTTTCATAATTATTACTATTGTTAAAAAAATGTATTTAAAATTATGTTAATCAACTACTTTGGTTAATTCAAGTCACATGCTGCTTAACGTGGACTAGGGAATAGGTATAAACTTGTAAATGTAAAGTATAATATATTACCACTATTACCTATGTGTAAATGAATAATGCTATCAAGTTAAAAAAAAAAAAATTAATTATATCATTATTTATAAAAATAAATTTATATTATTTTTAATACCTACACAAAATCTAAAAGCAAAGAATTGTATTTACTATATTTTTCAAGGTATTTTTCTATAATAAATTAAAATATTCTTATCAAAATTAATTGAATAGATTTATATGTCAGACATTAATTATAGCAATTGAAATAGGTAATCTAATACCTATCATTTTCCAAAGATTTATTATAGATTTAGTTATTGATGCATAATTAATGTTCCAAATAAATTGTCTATAAAATTATCTATAATTTTATTTGACATTTGATCGGTATTAATGTTATTAACGTATTAGTAACAAACTTTATATTGAATATGTCAAAGGGGCCTACTATAAATGGAGCAAAATTAATAAAACATTTAATTCTACGTTTGATAATATCATCAAATTACTGAAATACCAACAACGATATTCATAGAATTGAGGTGGAATTAGATTCTAGTATACCGTTAATAATACGGAAATCAATGTAGGTGGAAAAGCTAGTGAGCGAAATTCTGATGGAACGAATTACAAAATACCTATTTGAAATGATACGATATTAAAATGGTTTCGAAAACATCTTAGACGTTTAATTGTTAAAAGGCGAAAATCCAAACATGAGTTTTTTAATCGCTATAATGTCGAGAACCCCCAAAACATTATCAAATTCCATAGACAACAGAAACAAATTTGACGTTGGTACAGCATACAGTACATTGTTCGTTTTTGGTCATCGATCGAATCTTACTATAGTAACTATAATACAATAATAATAATAAAATGACATACCCAATCGAGCTGTCATTGTTTTGTACGATACGACGGTGTACAGGATAGACGACGCGCACTCGGATGACATAATTAATTATTATTACTATTATTTATTTATATATATTAATCACTTTAAATAGAGTTGAATCGGATCCGACGGACGAAGATTGTTGGATCACAAATATAAAAATATTCTAGTGACACTAAATTACTAAAATACTAAACAAACAAACCAATTTTTAGAAGATTTCCGACTAACTAGTACCCACACCAAGTTTAGTGTGAAAAAAATAATAATGTAAATAATAATAATAATAATAATAATAATATTAATCACTTAGACGCCATTTTAAATTAAAAACAGACGGTGCCGGATGACCGGGGAAAAACTACCGGGCGTGCTGCACAAACAGAGCGTCACTGTACGATTTTCCCGTATCACGGAAATAATAGTAGTGATTCTTATCGAACACTGATTAAATTCAAACATATGATCAGTGATCAGTCCTTAATCAAATATTCCACGTAGGCTGCGTAACATTAATTTTATGTAACCGAACGGCGAACATTACCCCATCATTCCTTCCGCATAGACGTTATAACTAATTGATTGACGCAATTACTAGTTACTAGTGTTACTACGTCAGCTCGAGGATAATTCAAATAGTTGTGAGTCGAGCATTGAATCATTGTACTTCACTCCAACCGTTTGGTTAGACGTTCATTCCGGTTTCTCGCGCATCGAATATCAAACTAACTTTATAGTATAATATCTCTATAAAGTAATTTTTAATAAAAAATTACTCGTGTTACGACTATTATCTAAATACGTTAGCCGTATTGTTTTTATCGTTCAAACACAATGGCGAAAATCAGTGCCGGACCCGTCGTTGACATTTTGGGCGATGAGATGACCCGCATCATCTGGGATTTGATCAAGGAAAAACTCATCTTACCATTTTTGGACATCGAACTCCATGTTTATGACTTAGGCATGGAAAACCGAGACTTAACTAACGACCAAGTGACATTAGACTGTGCCGAAGCTGTTAAGAAATATAATGTCGGAATTAAATGCGCTACAATTACACCTGACGAAAAACGAGTTGAAGAATTCAAGCTGAAGAAAATGTGGAAGAGCCCCAACGGCACAATTAGAAACGTTCTTGGTGGTACGGTGTTCAGGGAAGCCATTATATGCAAGAATATTCCTAGGCTGGTTACTGGATGGGAAAAGCCAATTATAATCGGAAGACACGCTCATGCTGATCAATATAAGGCTACAGATTTCGTTGTTCCTGGAGCTGGCAAACTTACATTGACATGGACCTCTAATGATGGTAAGTCAATATTTATCTATTTAGTTAATTTTTTTATGATACTATGGTGTTATAATACATATGAACATAATTTTTTTTTTTTGTTTACAGGTAAAGATAAAATTGAAGAAGTCGTCAATGATTTCAAAGGTGCAGGAGTAGCATTAGGAATGTTTAACACAGATGCATCTATTGTTGATTTTGCACATTCTTCATTCAAGTTTGCTTTAGCTAGGGAACTTCCATTATATTTAAGTACTAAAAACACCATCTTAAAAAAATATGATGGTCGTTTCAAAGACATTTTCCAAGAAATTTATGATACCCAATACAAACCATTGTATGAAGCCAAAGGTATTTGGTATGAACATAGATTAATTGACGACATGGTGGCCTATGCTATGAAATCTGAAGGAGGATTTGTGTGGGCATGTAAAAATTATGACGGTGATGTTCAGTCTGATTCTATTGCCCAGGGTTATGGATCATTGGGCTTAATGACATCTGTGTTGATTTGTCCTGATGGTAAGACTGTTGAATCAGAAGCTGCTCATGGCACTGTCACAAGACATTATCGTATGCATCAACAAGGTAAAGAAACATCTACTAATCCAATTGCATCTATCTTTGCATGGACTAGAGGATTGTTGCATAGAGCAAAATTGGATAACAATAAAAAATTGGAAGATTTTGCCAACAAATTGGAAGAAGTTTGCGTTGAAACTATAGAAGCAGGATTCATGACTAAAGATTTGGCTATATGCATTAAAGGAATGAACGGTGTTCAAAGATCTGATTATTTGAATACATTTGAATTTTTAGACAAATTGGCTGAAAATTTGAAACTTAAATTAAATCTCACATGCAAATAATAATTACTGAAAATATTTAAGTTTATATATTTGGCTATGTTTTATTTTATTTTATCTAATAATAATAATTTATTTATTCTTTTTTTTTTTAAGATTTTGGTTTCTATCATTGTGCCATAATTAAATAAGAAAATTCATACCTTTTTTTTTTTTTGATTGGTGGTAGCAATTTATACGTTATTAATCAAATAAAATTAGGTGTAGGTTGCATATTTTGGGGACTACTTTAATTTGAGAGACTGATGATAAATTTTATCAAAACACAAAAATGTATTTCTTACAACAAATTCATACCATATTGTCATTATTAGTAAAAATAAAACTTGCATGTTATATTTTCTTAAAATTTTACTATCTTATTATTTTATTAAATAAAATTCATTCACATTAAAAAAATGTATTTTATTTATTATTATAGTATATCTATGAGTATTTATTGTATCAAAAAATGTGTAAAAATTATCTTAAGGTTAATTACAAACATAATGGTATAGTAAAAGCTAATAATCGTGTGCATAGTCATTTATACATTTTTAGGTTTAACATAAATAATCATATAAGTTGTTTTATAACATGATTTTAATCATACAATTAATTTGAACTTGTCTTGATAAGATTTAACTTTGATAATCATTCTTCTTGAATAAATTAATTACAACAGTTAAAAAAATAATTTATTTTCTTTAAGGTTAACTGATTAATTAATAATTTTTACATAATCACCGACATAATCAGTAATTTTTTTTCATATTTACACAGTCACCTACTTATTAAGGTACTTATATTAAACTATAAGTGGGGAACCCTAATGAATAAAGTTGCTTAATAGATTGAATAGAATACAATTATTTTTCAGTCAATATTTATATAATTAAATTAGTAGATACCCGCTGATTACAAATAAAGTTGATTCAAATTGTAATGCCCATAAGTTTAAAGATTAACAGTACATTCGACAACAATTTTACTAAAACTTATTGCGTAAATTATACCAACAGAGTCAAAGTTTATTTTTGACGGATTTATAAACAAATAACATATTTGTTGGCATGTTGCATAATATTTGATTCAAGATAAATAAAATAAATTTATATTGTATACATTTATAATTTTACGAATTAATTAGCCAATGTTTATTGCCTACTTAATTTACTTATAATATACCTAGTTGCGTATAATAGATATTGGTAGTATTGGCTATTTGACTACAAGGACATCCACTAGTTTTAGTAGGTACCTATTTATGATATAGGTTTATGAATTAATCAATGTTTAACAGTACCTTATTTTTCTCTTCGCATAAAACTATGCCCTATTTTATATAAATATACATAATGTATAAACAGTATGTTTAACAATAAAGGTAACATTAAATATTTCACACTCACGACCCCGAATTTAATTCTTTTTTTTTTTTACTGTATGAAGAACTTAATGTCTTAATATGAAACTTATTTGCATGCGCAGCAAAACAATTTTTTTTTCAATAATAATACTATACCCTTCATTTTATAATTCAAATTTTAAATAAATACAAATAAATGTTTAAGCAAGTGACTTAAAAAGTTTTTTTATATTAAAAGTTGACTTATTGAAAATGAGTTAAAGATTCAATTCATCCATATTATATAAGTATCGTATATTCGTATCATATTTTTAACAGTTTTCTACATTTTTAAAAGTTGTGTTGTGTGGTTTTGCAATCAAGAAGTACATGAAACTTTGTAAAAGTGTAGATAGAATGTTAAAAAAAAAAATAGAATACAATAAATAGGTACCGATCTACAACATGCTTAAGTCGAAACTTTTATCCTCTTTCAATAAACTAATTTGTATGATAAAAAAAAAAAAAAATGTTTTACAGTGCACACGGGAAAAAAAGATTTAAAAAATTAAAATTTTCTAAAATAAGTATAATATGAATTTCTTTTTGTTGTTTAAAAAAAAAACTGAATAATATTTAAGGTCATATACTCATATCTACATCCAAATATGTTGTTTTACATTTATAACTAAACACACTGTGTATATAGTAGGTATAAACCAATAGGCAATAATAAGGTACATCCTAATAATTTTAAAAAATATTTGGAATTAACATTTAACGAATCAGATTACAAATAATATGTTAATTAATTTAAAATGCATAACTATCTAATCATCTGACGGTCTGAGTTTCTATCTTTGTACCTACTTGTGTGATTCATAAATCATATAAGCTAGTAACCTTACTATAGCTGCTGCCTGCTAGTTTATACAAGTTATGCTAGATCTACTAGAATTTAAATGACAAGGAATAATAATAAAATACGCCTATTTTCATTAAAATAACTAAAATTTTATTGCTTACAGCAATAAGGCTAGGATCACACTATGCGTTTTGTCGGTTCCCGACCAACCGGAGCCGAACCGCAACACTTTAAAATAAAATAGGTTTAAATATAAAACGCGTCATCAGGGCCAGACTAGACCGATTTGCGGAACCGATTAAAAACCGTCGGGAAGCGACCGCAACGTGTTGCGGCCCAACCGTCCGGTTGCGTTTCGGGATGTAAAGCACAACATATGCAATGCAATTTGTCCGATCACATTTGTGCGGATTATCGGTAACCGAAATTGAAAATTTTATGAATAATTAATAATCATTTTTAAATTTAAATAATTAAAAAACTTAAAATATATTTGTAATATACATATATATATATATTATATTTTATTTATATTATAGATGTATATTATTATTTATTAGCATAATTAGTTGATACACGTTTTAAATAAAAACAAATAATTCTAATTACACAACCTTTTTATTATTTTTTTACTTATAATACTAGATACATTTCGTTTAAATAAAAAATCAGTTTAAAATTTAAATTTAAATTAAAAACGATTTTCGGGCTTTTTAATCTCATTTGTATGTATTCGGTTACCGATAAAACGCATAGTATGATCGATCGTCCCGATTGCGGTTAATCGGGATAGTATTTTTCGGTTGCCGACAAAACGCATAGTGTGATCCTAGCCTAAAGCGTGATATGACCATGAGAATGTGAAATACTAAAAATATCACAATTTAATAGCATTCTGAAAATTGAACATAATATTATAACAATTGTAAATATTTATATATTTATCAATATTATATAATCTTCTTACCCAACTACTATTGACTTTTTAAACTTTGAATCATTAGAAATGAGACGAATAATTCTAGATCTCTGCTTCATTTTTAAATTACTTAATAGAAACATTTATTGTTCTAATCTACTGATTAAATTAAATTTCTCTATTCCTAATTGTAGCATTAGACAATAAAATACTTTTTACGTGTCATTTAAGCTCAAAAACTATAGTTTAAAATGTTTAAATTATCCAGTAAATAGATGTATGATGTTAATAAAATAATAAATAAGTATGAAGTTGATATTTTTCTATGTTTAACTATATCAACGACTTTAGTAAATTTATAAATAGTGTTATTTCTAAACCATTTATTATTTTATAACTATCTCGTATTCTCGTACAATTTTATAATTATATACTATTGATTAATTAATATTGTAATTGAGCAAACTGCCAGTCTAAGAAGAATACTTAATAAATAAATATTAAATACATATATATAGTTTTACTAAGATTCTGAAAATTTCGTTTTGATTAATATTAGTTAGTAAGCATTTCAAGTTATTTTGTGCAATTTAAGTACTCATAATATTTTTAATAATGAAAATATAACAAACGTAGGTACTTATAAAACTTGATTTAGTTTTCTTAAGTAACTGATCTGTCATTAATATAAATAATAAAGTACATAAATTAAATTACAAAATAAAACTTAATCAATGTACACAATAATACAATATTAGGTACCTATACGCTAAAAGACAATTTTAGGAAATATGTCTGGGGATGAGATAAATCGATAACGTAATGACGGATTTAAGATTTTTTTAGGGGGTGTGGCCAACAATTTTCATATTAATTTTCTGAACACAATAAATAAAATTTGATATAAGGTCTTACAGATATAATACAAGTACAAAGGGGGAGAGGCGTACCTCCCTTAAAATCACCACTGCGATAACAATATTATTTTTTGTCACAAAAAACTTCTCAAATCCCAAAACTCAAATTAAGCTACATGATCATAGTGGGTGTTATGAATATATTACTTAAAATAGACAACGGTTTTAGGTCCACAACTTTTAAATGAAAAAATAATTTACTGAAAAAAACTGGCTACTATAGTCTATAATACATAATTATAATAATAGTAATACTACATCTATAATTGATACCTACATATAATATATGATATCTTATAGGTATTTTATATTATAGTAAAAATTATATAATACGTATTAGGTACATACTTATAGTCTTATTACACAAACTTAAAGATAAGTTAGATTGGTAGGTACCTACTTAAAAGTTATAATGTAAGTAATAAAATATGGAATATACTTTTTTTGAATCAGTACAGGGGAGAGGATTTAAAAAAAAATTACCCATATGATTACCTACTTATCTGCAGTATTTATAATGTTTTATATTGGTGTAGAATTTGTATACAGTATGTGAAATTATAAATTTCCTGCAAAAATATCAAGCTTATAACAATGCAACTATAGGACATAGGTATAAATAATTTTAGATTTTAGAATATTACAATGAATTATGAAAAAAAACATAGTTCAAAGGAGGAGAGCTTTATTATTATCTAATGATACCCCCTTATTGCACTTCCATTAAACTCATCACCGTTTAAAATATAAGTCAAAGAAATATCTCTATACTCTATAGCGTAATTGTACGTATATTAATTTTAATAAACATAATATAATGTACATAATATGAATACATAATAATGACATAATTTGATATACTATAGAGTATATACGATACGTGTACAGTGCATATAATCATAAACTATAATAATAAGGTTTAATAATAAGGCAGACTATATAATATTATAATTTATAATCGGTACTTATGAGTTATGCTGTTACGGCTGGTTTAATAGGGTAATAACAAGTCGAGAGGTTATCAACAATTTAAATAATTAATAAGTACCTACATAGTTAATATCTAGTTGTTTAAAGGTTATAAAAATATCAACGATTTGATATTTTTAAGCACATATTAAAATACCAATAAAATAACATGTTTTTTTAATTTTGATAAGCTTTTACCAATTAGCATTACAGTTCAGTATTATTACATATTTACATAATGTAATGTAACAAACACATAAGTCACATCAAAGTACATGCATAATATAATATATAGATAACGTTTACAACTTAAAACTTCCAATTAACTGGTAGTTATAGTAGGTAACCTTAAATAGTAGACTAATTAAATTAATTAATGTGTCAAAAAAATAAAATAAGAAGAAAATATTTAAGTATATGGTTCGTGAATACTAATAGATTTCTAATGAAGATTAAAGTATACCTATATTGTGTATGCTGTATTGTGTGCTGGATCTAGGGGGAGGGCAAATGAGTACCATTGCCCCGGGTGCTGTTAGTATAAAGGTGTTCTTAAGTAGGTATATGAAAAATACTGACCCTTGTAGTTAATACTATATGTACCTATCTAAAAGCGCTACATTTTTATTAACTCCTGGCATCAAATGTCCTAAAATCGGTACTATAATTGTATAATATCTAAGTAGCCAGTTGGTAGGTAGTAGATATTCAACTTTAATGTGTATGCCTTTAATATAATCATATGGACAACAGAAGATTAGATATAGGAGAAAATAAAGTACCTAAATAAGGTAGGTAGTACTTTTGGTTTTGGTAAGAGCTATAACTAGCAACTATAGGAACTGTATCTATTAAACTGTTGATAAAAAGTGAATTAGCGAACTAGTATAATATATTAATATAATAATGAAAAATAATAAATGGCAAAATTACATTTTGAAATTAATGGGATTATAAGTTATAACATAACATAATTAGAAATGAGATGGAAAAGACTCGGACGAATTTGGTGATATGATCTTTGGTTACTTTTGAAATATCATAGATAATATAATATATTATAATATGATTAATTATGTATTTATAACACAAATTAGTAGATACTAACTACTAGGTATAGGTTGAATTTGTAAATATCAAAATGGATGAAATATTTCTCTAATCTCCATAATATTAATAAATAGGTAATAACATTGGTTATAAATTAAAAACTATATTTATAAATTATAATCGATGATTAGTAAGTCGGTAGGTTCTATTATTTTAAATAGATAATAATACACAACTTCAAACTCAGTAGTCAATTAATTACATTATATTTTGGCCCTTAAAATTTAAATATACTCAAAAATAAATGCTTAAACACACGTCTTGTATAATGACGTACATTTTATAGAATATAGATACAAACTGGTAGATACCTACTTACTTATACCAGATATCTCAATATCTACGTGACTGTAAGTACCTATCTAATGATTTTAGAAATATTCTATAGATAAAATAAAAATATAATTTAAATGTCTGTGTGTCAGCGTGTATCAATCTTAATTATAATGTACGGTTTACATAATTCTTTAATCTAAATATATTATATAGATATTAGGTATTTATAAAATTATATCAATATATCAATATATCAATATATATATATATATATATATATTAGATTGCTTGTGTTGTATAATCTACATTTGACATTTTCGACTTTTTTTAGTTTATATGTTGATAAGATGTTTTTTTTTTTTTAATAAATAATTTCAGATAATATACAAATTATTTTAAATTTTAAAATACTCATAACTCGCTTTAAAATTAAAACATAAAAATAATCCAATGAAATGAATTAGATAATATTCTTAATTTTAAATTTAATAAAACATAAATTCACTATTGTATTTAGTGTAATGTATAAAAAAGTGAATTGGAATTTGGATTATTCAGAAAATGTAATTTGACAAGTTATGCGTTCGTAAGACTAATACAAGTACCTATAGAACGCTTATATGGGTATAACAATTCAGTTGTACAAATATGGTGGGGTTATAGCCTCCCAAAATCACTCAAATCCCCCTTTAAAAATAATAATATAATACATGTATATTATTCTAATAAAAGTTATTTTCACAGGTATTTTGTTGTCTTTACATCAATACGAAAATCGTTTTTATAAAACAAAATAATATTACAATAAACAATATTACAAATAGACAGTTGTATTATATATTTATATAATTATTATTAATGTCTAAATAATTGTATAGATAGTTATTATTGGAAAATTACGAATGGTAGAACTATTATAATTTTAATATATTTTATACTTACAATATTTCATATAATTTTCTACAGCTTAGTGGATAAAAAGATTCTAAGACAAACAAATCAAAACAAAGTTTGCACGCTTCAACGATTAATCACATTAAATTGTAGGTACGTCAAAGTGATTGGAATTTAAACGATCTTTAAAACAAGGTACTATCATACTATTTCAATAAATTATATTACGATTAAAGATAGTAGGTATAGTTTGAGGGCAATTGGTACTGGTAATAGGTATGCTTCGTGGGTTGTTTCCCCAGGAAATGTGAGCTGCTAGATTTTTAGTAGAATATCTTGTATATAGGTATTTCAAGAATCTAAAGGAAAACTAGAAAGAACCGATAGATCATCCATTAAGTCATTCCCTCTTTCTTGTAAATAATCATCAATATATATTATATTATTAATATAATATTATACAGTTAACATATTTGTATTTGTGCAAGTAAATTGAAAAATGGACTGGTGACAACTGTTATCGACTGTATATTTATTAAAACATACTCTTACTGTCTTAATATTAGGTAGTAGTAACTAGCGTGAGTTAATTTTCTATAAACGAGAGAGGCGACAACGGACGATCAACTTCTCATCATACTCAACGTACACGGTACAGGTGTACTGAATCCTTGATAGCCGTCAGCCGACAGTCCGTGCCCCCGTGGGCGAGTGGTTGTTAGTTGTTACACGTTTTATGTCGACAGAGTTCGCACAAGTCGTCTATTATCTTTAAAAAAAAAAATAAATAGCCCAAGAATAAAAATTGATAATGATAAGGAAATTATGCCGTCAGATCGATGTCGATTTTGTGTCGGCCATCCAAATCCGGTTCTCGAGTTTTTATAATTTTTATTTACCTACCATAGGTAAGCGTTGAATCTTAGTATACATTTTTTGTAACTCGCTAAACTTCGATGTGTGCCGAATGCCGGAAACACCAAAGAAATTGAAAGTAGTGGTCAAAGGTAAAGAAACAATATCAATCGTCAAAATGTGGTCACCAATAATTTTGATTACTAATACACCTCATACGTACTTCATCTGTGAATTTTAATGGTTACCATCGTTTAGTATAAAAAAGTAGTTTTTTTAATAATTTTATTTCTGTGTTTAAGCTTACATTGTCTGTGGTTTATTTTGTATCATTCACAAACCATAATTTATGTTGAACAATTTCAAAAATCTCTTCAGTACCTATATGAATGACAAAACTCCTCAAACACTTAAGATATTTTCTTTAGATACTTAAGGTCGTTTTTATAATAATAATCTAAAAAATTTTTTCAATTAATAATATTTTATAACTGTAAAAAGTATTTTATTAAAATTTAATATTTTTCACTTCTTTATTGTTATATACTATATAGTAACTTTAAAACAAGTTTTGACTGTAAAATTAGTAAAATGTGCAAGACCTTATAATAATGCTAAAATAACAACAATATTTAATAAAAACTAAAGTAAAATTTAGACATCTGTTTAATTAAATTTTATCTATCTGTTAGAACTGAATCAACACTTTAATTTTTACACAGAATTTGAATTTGATCTTAAAAAAAAATATTAACTTGAATCTAGATCAGGTCTTATTTACTGCTTGATATTAGTATTTAATATGTGTTGTTCATCATTTGTAAATAAACTATTTAATTAATTTAAATTATATTTTAGACGTACTCGGTGTTGCACAATGGCGCTGGGTAGCCAATGACGATACCTGCGGTATTTGTCGAGTGGCGTTCGAAGCTTGCTGTCCTGACTGCAAGTTTGCTGGTGACGATTGTCCTTTAGGTAAATTAATAAATTAATAATGATCAACCAAGTAAGTGTTTCTATTAATTCAGTTAATATTATTTTGTTTCAGTGTGGGGTCAGTGTTCACATTGCTTCCACATTCATTGCATAATGAAATGGCTCAACGCCCAGTCCGTACACCATCAGTGCCCGATGTGTCGTCAGGAGTGGAAGTTTCGAGAGTAGACTCAGATTTATTATCACCTTTATCATTGTCTTATGATTCCGAACTACCACCTCTACCTGAAAGCCTTAGTCGTTTAAGCCTGTATGATGTACCTCCACGTTCTAAACCTGAACCTGCCCGACGCCATTCACCTAAATCAACAGAACTTGTTGGCTCACCTAAGCAAACACGTCAGTCACCAATACCATCATCTGAACATTCTGATAAACGTCCAACTGAAAAACCACCAGTTCCACCCAGGAAACCGTCATCTGTTGACTTAAAACTCGCACATCTCCGAAATGAAATGGTAAATAATAGAAATATTAAATTTATCCAGTTTTATTTTTTATGTTATTATTTATATGTTTAAGGCGAGTCTACGTCAAATGGATTTACAACTTCTGTCCCAGTTACGGCAGCTCAATGATTCTATTAGTTCATATAGACAAGAATTAATTATGAACATGGACTCTTATTCATCATCAGACACTGATGGCTCGGATACTACATCAGTCTATTCAAATGTTACTCCCAGCAGTTTCGATTTATCTCGTTCCTCAACACTATCAACTCCCAAACGTCCACCGACATCTACAGATTTATAAAAATATAGTATTAAACACAAACTAGGCTGTTTTTTTATAAATATTTTTTACTAATAATTATTATACTACTCATTTGTATTATATTAAGTAATTACAATTTAAGACAATAAAATTTACTTACTTTCGTGAAAGTGTACAACTTTTTAATAAGTATTCCTTGCTTAACATGATAATACATCACTAATTTTTACCAATAAACATGAAAATGAACAAATATGTATAGTATATTGTAATTGTATTATAGAATTCCAAGTTAATACATTTTAAAAAGATTAAAATATTATTTTTACTAGTATTGCAGCTCAAATTTGTAGAAAAAAAAAATATTAATTTTTATAGTTTAAAATTATAATTGCAATATGGTGGACAACATTAGTGTTATAACAAATGATAACTTAGTGAAACAATAATGTTTTATCAATTTCAGAACTAAAACAATAAATTTTTACATGAAAACTACTTTGTTAAATTTTTAATTTTTACTGTAGATGACGAATTTCAATTACAATTTGATCAACTGAATAAATCGTATAAAATTAAGCAATCTTGGCTTATGAGTCATAAGAATAATTGATTGTTATTGAATTTATTAATCCCCCACTCAGAAGTGTAATAGATTATTAAAAGCTTTTAAGTTGATGACAATATAAACAAGTTATAATAGAAAAAAAAATGTATGAAAAACTATTTATAAAGAATAAGATATTTCTCTAGTTTTGGTATTGAAACAGTTGTCTTCAACAGAGTTGATCTAGTTATACAATTGTAAAAATATTTCAAAAGAATACTGTTATGTGGTTTGTTAAGAAATTAATATGTACTTTTATACTAATGTTGATTATAATAAATAAAATGTAAGAAAATATTTGTGTATCTAGTTATTTTTAAATGATATATTTTCTTTCAATTTTTTAAAATGACTATAGGATTAATAAATTATAAGAAATTTCTAATTATAGTATATTATGTTAACAATTATATAAAATAAAGAACTGTTGATTTCTAAAAGGATTGAAATTGTTTATTAAATTACAAGCAATTTTTTTCATTTTAAATGAGTTTCTATAACTTACATGCTATGTAAACAAACACATACACATTAATACAAATACAATATTAACCAAAACCTTAATTTTATTCAGGCAAAATTTTGTATTTACAAAAGAATAAAAACAATGATTTATATAAAATTAATCTATTACTGTTTGTGAGTTTAGAATACAAATAAAGTAAACTTAAGTGCTTATAAGAATGGTATCAAATAACTGCTTAACATTGCATCTAACACAAAATATTATACTCAAGTACCAATTGCCTTGTAAATACCTACTGTGTACATAATATATAATAATCTTAAATAAAAATCAAATTTCAATATATGGTTCATACACTAGTAAGTATTCATGTTATATTTGGCAACATTGTAGGTATAAAGAATATTAATTTTTAAGTCTTTTAAATAAATATAAGATTTTAAAATTTAGAATTATATTTTCAAGGCTATAAAGTGACATTTTTATGGTTAAAATGATATATAAATATATATATTTTCTAAAATAATTATTTAAAATGTATTGAAGAAAGTTCTAAAAAATTAATTTTTTTTTTTTTTATTTGTCTTAAAACAATATTGAACGTTGTACTTGTTTCAGTCAAACTTAAATGCATTTTTTTTAGTATTCTATTTGAAAAAGGTATGGGATCTTATTTACTTGGCGAATACATATAAAATTTATAAATTATAATACTATGTTTATTTTTTTTAAATTATAGAACACTTAAAAGTTAAGAAATAATATTAATTTTAATATGGTTATTTTTTAATTTATAAAAGATATACTGTTTAGTCTTTATGTACCCATAAAAGTAAATTTATTTTAAAGTAATTCAAATTAAATTTGTTCAAATGCATTTTTTTTTAAACAAAAAGGCTACATTCAAACCCTTGTAAAACATATTTAAAATAAAAATATATAGAATTACTTTAGTCGATAATGAAAATACTATAAACAAAAATTTCTGAATACAAATAATATATACTAAAATAACAATTTAAATATTCATTTTATTTTAAATAGAAGAACCGGAACCAAGTAAAATAAAATATTAATAATAATAATAAAAAAAAAAACAAAAATCCAAGCAATATTTTTTATACATTTAATATGTATATCCAAATGGCATTCTATATATCTAAGACTAATGAAACATGTGTTAGATAAATCCCACCAACATGCACTTAAATAAAAATATAATAATGACAAAGATTATTAATTTTGTGGTACTGCGGGAGCCATCCGACTAATGGTAGCAATACCCGATAAAATAGCAGATCGCAAAAAAGACGGTGTGCCTGATTTGTTTGCAAAGTTTTCAGCTGCTATACGAAGGTCAGTAAACATAAGTCTTGTATGTGGATTACGTTGTGAAGCATATCGTAATGTGAGGAAATGATAGTAGAACACAATAGACAGCAATCCAGAGCGACCAAAGAATGACATAAATAATGTAAGTGGCATGACTAAGATTTCAGAAAATGCAATTAGACGCAAGATACTTCGTGATTGGAATTCAACCAAAGATATCAATAGCCGAGCACCCCACCATGCATTTTGACCAAGAAGCTGAAAAATAAATTTTACATGTTTAATGATTTTTTTTATTTTAATGTTTGCTATTAAATAAATATTATACTTACATCAAGTAAAGTTAGAGAATAACTGGCAAAGTGTACCATTGAAAATAAAAACACTGGCAAGATTACAACTGAAATAAATCTAAGTTAAGGAAAAAAATAAATTGCAATGTAAATTTAAATTAAAAAAAAAACAATATTATATATTATATATTATATTTAATAGATCTTGAAAATATGTTGAATATTTAAAGGATACGAATATTAGGTGACACATATAAAAATATCACTGAATACAATAGGTAATGACAGCTGTCTTCTTTGAATAATTGTGTCAGGAACTGTAAAGAAATTTGCATGGCTGGCAAACGTTGGTGAAGACGCAATGCACTTGTAGCTGCATTTGCCAATAAAATTCTATAATATGCACTTGCTGGGTTCCTAAAAATTATAAATTTACATAAATCTTTTTAGTTTTGTATAAAAAAAATAAAATAAATCAATTATACTTTTTATATCTTATATCAACTCTTGTAATCTAACTATTATAACAATTCTTATTCTATTTATTTTGTAACTTTCAATATTGTATTTTCCATCAATTCAATTAAAATAAAAATAAAAAAAATCTTATATTTAAATGTGTTTTAAATGAATTAAATTAAGGTTTATTATTTAAATCAGGAGTGTTATAATTTGTAGATATAATAAATACAATTTATTATTATTACAACTAAAAAAAGTCAGCTTGGTGATGTTATGAGTAGGATGAATGAAGTTATTGTAGCTGGCAGGTGCACATCTTGCCAACATTCACGGTAATTTTTTTTAATGCTTAAAAATATTAATATATTTACTAAAGATAACAATATTATAGAATAATTGTAAATTAATGAATATTAATAAATAATAGATTATCTATCATAGTTACATTGATAATTTTAGATTTAATAAGACCTATTGATAATTACAATTAGATAGGTACCTAAATAGCATAAATAGGTAAAATAATAATATTTTAGAATAAGTAATTAAATTTAAGGTCATATTATGATAATGGCCTTGTTCAATGCTATGACATGTTTAGTAAGAATCTAATTAACATAATTATTATGTTTCAGTTTTGTATTTCTTAATAAGTAATATAAAATATACTTAAATTTACAAAAAAAAGTTTACATTTTTACCAAAATTAAATTGTTATCTATATTAGAATTTACAATAGAAAAAATAGATAAACATTTTCAATAAGTTGAACATAATAATATAAATAAACAGTTTATACAACATATAGATACTTTAGACTAAGAAGAATCAATACCAATGTAATCACCAATAGTATTTTTAAGTTAAATATTCTTTTTATAGACTGAAATTAAAGTATTAATTAATCTATTACATCTTAGTTGCATTACTATTATATACTAACTGTTCAATATAAAAAATAATTTTATTTTGTCACAATAATAACGTAAAATTTAAATAAGAGCAGACACAAATGAGTGACAGGACTCTGAACTTCTCTCATTATTTATAATTTTAAAGATCCCTTTTATATATATATATATATATTTTTTTTTTGTCATTAATGATTAAAAAATATTATTAAGATGCAATATTTATTTGTCTACGACAATAATTAAAATATTTCATATTATGTTAGTGGTTATTACTTTTAACTATGAGTATAAACTTTATATTATAACTACAACTAATAAAGTAAAATGTATATTTTGTCATTTTGTGTCCTTTTTTACATTCTTAGATTTACTTCTGGGTTTAATATGCTCAATTAATTAAATAATCAATAGTATAATTATATGATTATGTAATTGAACTGATTTGTAATCAATATACAATCATTTACTATAATATTTGAAAGCTTCATTTTTAGAGATAAATGTATGCAAGAATATAATTGAATATCTAAAGCACATTAAAAAAAAAAATATTTATGAATAAAAGTATCAAAAATTGAGTCAAAAATATATGTTTTTACTATTTTAATCAAAATATTAAAAGACAGGCAATTTTTATCAATCAAAATACATATTTGATATAGTAGAATATTAATTAAGAACGATAATACCTATAATAGAAAGTTATTTGTTTAGTAGGTATCTATGACCTAGGTACTATAATTTCTAACCTAAATAATGTGAATTTTTAAGTAACTTGTTTTTTATATCTGAAATACAATCAGACAGCAAAGTTAATGTGTACATATAAACTGGGGAAAGAAAATGAATCTTACCAGAAAAGTGGCAGAATGTATGCAAATGTAAAGATTATTGTTGCCAATCTTGTACACCAAAGAGATACTTCCACTTTATGTGAGATAACATGTTCTTTAAGAGCCTCAATACCCTTTGGTCTAGTTTCACCATCTGCTCCGGCTTCGCCTTCAGACATGATTAATTGGATGAAGTTAAAACTATTATTGGAAAAAAACTGAAAAATAAAACTATTATCAATGATACATGAAAAATTCTAATTCATTGAAATTGTTCTTACCTTCCTCTACTGGCTTGAATAAGCTATGTGGAAAAATAAACTATGGAGCAATATAAAAATAAAAATTTTATAATAATAGCAACGAAAGTGGAATCGCAGACTTTTAAAAAAAAAATGATCGACTGTGATTAGTGATTCGATAAATTGTAAAGGTTATCGATAAAGTGATGATAAAAAGAACAGATATTACGATTTTCAGTATTATTTATAAAAATGTTTTAATGTAGCGCACATAGAAGAACCAGCAAAATGACCACGAACGATGGGCTAGTCTTGTGCATCAAGAAAATACGTAAAAGCGATGACAATCAGAATGACAGAACTTGCGGAGGTCGGACTGACGGAGAAACGATGATAACCTGTTTTTTTTTTAAGGACAGCTAGTAACTATACTGACTGTGTTATGTATATAGTTTGTTTGCCGATTACGACAACCACAGTTTAACCATTTTTGGACGCGTTAAAATTCCCTACGATGACGACGTGTCTCTGAATGTCTGGTGTGCCTAAACTTCACTATAACAACAGTCAACAGACGATAATATAGTAAGTAGTTATAGGTAATTTTTTATGATCGGTATTTGGTATGAGTGTATGACGGGAATAGGACTATGGGAGTTATCTGCATAACAAAAAATCGGGTATCTAATGATTAATACGTATAAGTGGCACTAATATTAGATAATAGATATTAGTTATAGCTACCTACTTAAAATTCAATAAAAACATTTTTCTGGCTTTACTAGAAATGTCTTTATCAAAAATTTTTATAGATAATGTTATAAAAATACCTATTTAGTTTTCCATGGTGTATTCAAAACCCGAAAATTAAAAAAAGATTTGAAAATACAACATCTGTACATTATTCCTACGAAGTTGTTCTTACTGTAGCAATTTTAAAATATCTAGAAGACACTAATTGCATAAAATTGTAGGTACACTATTCGATTCGACGATGGATGAATTGAATTCAAACTGACTGTACAGCAGAAGCAAGTGATTTTTTACAATTTATTTTTAATCTAACAGTTCACACAGTTTATTAGGATAATAAGACGTTTTTTTTAGACAAATAATTTGTCATCTTATAATATTAGTAAATAATAATTATTTACTAATATAAGTAGACACTAGAGACCTACTAAAAAAATATTCTTCTTAGATAAATAGTACTTTTTATGGATTTCTTTTACAATATTTTTTTATTAAAACAGAAATAAAATATTTACAATTTGTATGCATAATAATACAATGGGTAAATAAGTTAATAAGTTTTTACCAAGTGTGACGGCGTGTGAAAAGGGAGCGTCCATTATTGACACTAGGTACTTCCAAATATGAACTCAATTTTCAATGTTATTTTGTATATGTTTTAGGAAATGTTAATGACATTTCGAGATCATTTTCATATAAGGTAATGGGGTGGGTTGTCTAATATTGTGACACAGATACTTAGATTAGTTTGAAATGTCTGAATATTAGGGAGTTGGAGTAATTTAAGACGTTTTTGTGGAGTTTATTGTAAAAATAGGATATTTATTTAACAATATTATAGAAGGAAAATAGTATTAAAATTATTTGTATTTGTTTTTATTGGGCTTTTATTTGATTAAACAAGGCCGAAATTAAGATAAAGACATATAGTATCTTGTCTGTGGACAAGGTAAGGAATAAAAGATTATGAACACTATGTGTTATGGAAATTGGTTATAAATTATAATTAACAACTACAATTCGTATTTAACACGCTATTGGAAAACAATTATATGATAATATTATTATTAGTTAATAGTTTATTCCCAAAATGAATGTTCACTTGACATAAATTTTGGAATGATTAGATACGAGAAATGTATTTTGTCAAACCAATGTAAAAATAAACGCATTGGATTATAAACCATATCAATGGTATGGTGCTAACATTCGGTGTGTTTTTTTCATGTCGGTTTGGTTAAACGAATTTTTTTATAGAACCATTTCTCGTTATATTTTCAATGTATTTAGTTTAAAATAAAAATGTTAAGGGATGAGTATAGAGACCCACACGTGTGAAAGCCTTATTCACGAATGTTAATATTCGCCTTTTTAAATCAGTCATTTTTTAAATAATATTTTAAGACTGTGATATCAATTATTCAAAATAATTTATAATTTTGTTCCAAATGATGTAATCATTTTTATTTATATGTATTTATAGATAATTGAATGTTATAACGTGACCTTAAATGGGCAATATACTACTGAATATACCAAATAAAAACTATAATACACGTAATAGTAAAATACTTATGCAGTATGCATATTTAACATTTTTTCATGTATATTTTATAATTTCTTTTGTTTGTATTTGAATACATATATTTTTTGTTTTAGCTTTTATAACTTCCGAGTCCTAGTAATATTTAATGAATAATGTAATATAATGAATAATCGTCAATGAAAAACATAATATAGTGTTAACACTAATAACAAATAAAAGGTATTTAAAATGCCTATATATTGCTCCTTTAATATTATACTATCTAGCTACACGCTAGACGTCATAAAAAAATGCATGATTTAAGGATAAATAAGTAATTTAAATAAAACAATTTTAGGAGTTTGTGTTGAAAATTGACTTCATTAAATTCTACGCACTTATAAAATCTTCTTTTTTTTAATAATTTATCATTTAACTCTATATGTTGTACTTCGATGGTTCATTTTATTTTATAATCAAAAATAGCTTTATTTTAAAAATTCATCAATACTTATTATACGGGTCTATGTATAATAAACCAATGTTAAGATCGATAAGTACAGGAATAAAAATTATTAGCTAGTGGTGTAAACAAGATAGAAACTATAGAAAGTATGAAAAACATGAATGTATTCTGAAAACAGTCCATCAGCGTTTGTTTGTATGATAATAATATACTGAATTTATTTATAATATAAATGGGTTATTATTAATTTACTGTTAAAAAACTAAATTATACTAAGTAAATCAATTAACTTATATATACATAATATTAATATATATAGTGTTATAATAAAATTATAAAAAAAATAAGCTTAGGTACATCAACATATATTTAATATAATGGTATCTATAAAATTTAACTTGACTCGAAAAAAACTGAACAAATATAAAATACGGCGCACATGGATATAGGATTTAGCGTACCTCAGTTTACGAACAAATCGGTGCTGGTGAACCCGATGATACTTGTTTGTGCAGAGCACATAATTTGATTATTGTAAACTGACAACTCGTTTGCGTACAACGAAAAATGTGAAAACCCGCTAATACTAACCTGAAAAATGACGACTTGTTTACGTACAACTATTAAATCTTATTCTCAATTTAGATTAATATTGTAAATTGCATTATCTAATGCAAGGAAATGATAGATTTATCTCAAACATTTCAATAAAATACACGTATAATTTGACTCGAGTATAAACTATATATAAGTTACAATTTTTGTCGGCAATAATTCGGTTATATTTTGAGTTATTCTATTTGCCCATTTTAGTTGAACGCGTAATGTTAATGACTAACGAGACACGAGTTGTCGGTGTTTTTAAATCGTTTTATTTTGTCTGGGAAATAAAATGTTTTAAAACAATCTTTCTGAGGTGTACTTACCTTGATGAACTAATTCGACTAAAAAATATAGTTTCTTTTTAAATTTTTTATTCATTATTCACTAAGAAATGTAACTGAGAATAAATATACTGTATGAATTAAATAAAGTAATTTAATTTCAAAATTGTTTTTATAATATGAATTTTATGAATTGTTAATATTTTAAATCATAATATAAATAATTATAGTTGTACAATGTTCATATTTCTGTAGTAATGAATAATGACTACACATAACTGATTAATGCTTTTTTTTTTAATTGATCCTTGAAAAACAGTTAGATGTATTAAAATTTGAAAATAATTAAATTGAATAAAAATTGTAGGGTAATTATATTACGATAATTGGAATTTCTATGACGAAAGATGAAAATCAAGCTGATATTATAAAAGAAGTATAACCTATTTTAAATGGCAATTGCCTGGTGGATGAAATTACTAATGTCTTCCAAATGAATCCAAAACATGATAATGGAAAACTAGTCATTTGTTTTAAAAATAAATTAATCAAAGATGAGATTTTATTAAAAATTAAAAATCGTTAGTTAAAAGTAATAATCTTTTAAAAACTAATGAAATCCATAGATTTAAACCAATTGTATAATAATGATAATATTATGTCTGCATTTTTTTTTAAACAGTATTAGTATTAATGCATATTTAAATGAACTTTAGTTATATTCATAGGCGAAACTGCGGGTCAGACCAGTTAGGCCTGACTAAAAATTTGAGTAGGTACATTATATATTTTAATAATTATTTAGGCATTATAAATAATATAGATATTTAATGTACCTACGTTAAAATTGTTATAAACATTTTTATACCCACTTTTTACTACATAAATATTATATATATATATAATAAATATTAAATAATAAATTAATATTTTAATATAAACTAATTTCAATTTATATATATATATATATATAGATATGTATAATCAATTTTCTTTAGTCTATAATGTCTCCCTATAGTGGACATTTAGTAATTTCTCGCAAATGTCCACTATTTAGATGTTTTCTCAATAGTAGACAACTACCTATAGTGGAAGTTTTTAATTCCTCATGGCTGTCCAATATATAGAGGTTTCACTGAATTTGATTATTATTATTCATTTGCAATGATAATAATATTATTTTTGTATCGTTATCATTCGTTATTAGAAATATCAAGTAATGACGATGTAAATGACACGCCAAAAAATGACGAATAAATAATAATAATCACAACTCAACACTCAATATTCTGTAACAAAGTAGTCATCGGCAATGATAATATATCTTGAAATAATATAAAGATAATTAATAATATAGAGAAATAGTTGATTATAAAGACGTGTATTAATATTTCTCCATCAAATGTTTGACTTAAGTTTTTAAAATTATTTCAATTCATATACCTGATATCCATTTTGAGCGAACTATACTAAAAACATTATATAGCACTAATAAAATTTCAAATAAAATATTAGATTAAATACATTGATTATTAATAATTTATTAATTTAATATAAATAAATAACTAAGAATACAATCAAAAGGAAAATAATGCAGACACTATACGTTTTATCTTTTAGTTTATTGTAAATTAAAAACATGATTCAATATTACAATAGATTTAAAGTTAAAATGCAGTCCAAAGGTATAAATTCGTTCACATATAGATATTAATAATAATAATAATAATAATAAATATATTAAATTAATAATCCTAAGTCATAATCACAGTAGATAAACAATTAATAAAGAAATGTTTTGAGAATAAGTTTATGTTCGAAAAAATTCAAACATTTATACCATGTACTTTTAACTTGTAATAATTCAAGTACAATGTTTAAACTATACATTCAGCTAGATAATTAACTGTTGTTTTTTAAATCCTTGAAGGTCTAATACATCCTGTATCTACTACACCTATATTCTTACATTAATATATTTATATTTAATATAATATCATAATAATTATTAGTCACAATATAAATTTATATCTTACACCTAGTAACAACTATAAATTAATGGCAGTATAAGTCTGAATCAAAGAGCCCGGTATTCAATTCACAATAACATAACTCAAACTATGTTATAGGCATAAAATATGTAAAACGATCAAATTTGTTTTGCATATTTTTTTGTACGTTAACTATTTAGATAATAACTGTCACTATATGAATAAAATGAATATTTTTATAGCTGGAAGACAGATATAAAATTAAAATGTTTAACATGTAGATTATGGATATTATTAATATGATTTAGGCCGTTTTATTGACAATAAAAATATAACGATAATAACAATAAATTAATAACACCGTTGTTGTCAGTCATTTGTCAAAGAATTAAATTATAAATAATTAATTCATTTTTAATGTTTAATAAGTGCAATTAAACTTTGACAATATTAATTAAATACTTAATTAAATTTATTTGTATGTGTATACAATGTTGATTGTTATAAGAAATTAATTTCATAGAAAGTGGTGCTGGAGTAGTAAATTTTAAAAATATGGTGTTTGTAGTGTTTATTTTATATTTTATTTTAAATTAAATTATTATAAGTATTATACTTTAAGATACCTAATAAATATTAGGTAGGTACATAGAGATGTCGAACATTTTTTGGGTACAATGTACTCAATTTTTTTGGGTGATTAGATGAAAAAATAGAAACATTATTAAATTAAATTTAAAACATTTTATAATTGTTTTAAAGTATTTAGAAATATTTTTATTTAATACTTTAATCTATTGATAGATTTAATATAAATAAATATACGCTCAGTACAAATGTTTTATTCGTATTATCTTGTTTTCTGTCATAATTTGATTTATGATATGATCTTTTATATTATTAGGTACTATATAATAATTTATATTTTTAAATAAAATTGGCATTATTAATTCTTATTTATGTGTAATGATTTGATTATATATTTTAAAATTGAGAAAAATTTAAAACAGGCACTTATTTTAATTTCAATTTTTTCTAATTAATGGTAAAAAAAATGGTTTGAATAACTATTAAGTAAATTGTTTGTCTGTCTATATATTTATTAGGAAGTATATACTAGGTAATAAAACTATGCGTTATATAAGATTGTAATAGTGAAAAGACAAAAAATGTAACAGTGTTTACTTGTTAGGTATACATCCAGAATTAACTGTAGTAGCGGAATATCAACTATTTTAAGAGGGTGTTATAATAGACAATAAACACTAACACTTATGACGAATTAAAAAAAACAAAATCATAATAACCATAATAATGTTACAATAAATGCCCACGACTCATAATCGATTGACGGAGAGGATACTATGTCCTCATATCCTCCGAAAATGGTCAAGTATAAGACTGCTATTATAATTATAGTTATAGTTAAGCAATAGTGGCTTAGAAAAATTGTTTTAAATTTATCTGCAATATAGGCCCAAATAAACATTTTATTTGCACATTGTATATTTAATTTTTAACATGGAAACTAGGTATAATAATATCTATTTAAATAAAGCTAAACAATTTATGCAGGTAACGTAGTTATAGGGATATTATAGTTGGATATTGAAAATTAATTATTATAATATATTATATGTAAATAATGAGCTAAAAACTTTACAATATCAAATGAAAAATGTATCTTCGTACAATTTTCATCAAAAAACAATATATATATATTATATGTATTACATTAGTGGTATAGTTACACATAAAAGCGCACATGGGCAAAATATTTTTTTCGCACCATAATTGATAAAAATTATTACCTTCAACAAATGTTTACGCCCCATAAGACGACCTTATTAATAACCTTAGTCGCCTTTTTGGTAGCTATGCTACTGACATAAATCTACAATAATATTGAACAATTATAGTTGGACTTACATGTTCTAAAACCAAATAGGTTTGATGTTTAAATATCCACCTATATGGTTTTAAAATTATTCTAAAAACCAAAGTCTTAAAATATTTATTTTTTTCTAATGTATCACTAAATAGTCCAAACTTGTACCTTTTCGGCGATAACGCACCAATTCGATTGGTCGTAATATGAAGAAATTATATGTAAATTATCGGCATGTTTCTCGATCAGTTGGTCGAGTTCACCTTCCCTAAATACATGATAGTACCTGTGGAACGTTATAGATCCGCCACCGTGTTCAGACAGAGATTCTTGTGAAGTGGATAAGCTGCTAATGTCGTCGCTCTTAGATGTTTCTTGGATTTCAACAGCTGCGTGTTGACGGACCAGGACGGCGGCCCTTCTAGGATCTGTCTCTTCCGATGACGATCGGCCATCGCATCGCGCTTGTCTCCGATCCGCGAACCTCGTGTCCTTACTACAGTCACTCCAGGATGTTAGCGAAGTCGTACTTTGCGTAGTGGTGTGCGTGTCTGCAGTGTCATTAGATTCAAGTGAGTTACCAGGTCGGAGAAGCGATACCTGGCTGCTGGAAACCGTGTCGCGTCTTGAGTCGCATTCCAATTCTAAAGACGCGTGCCGGTCTTCGGCTGATTCAACTGACTTACGATACAGCCGCGATCGGAACCCCTCCCGGCTTCGTAAGACCTTGTCCACAGAGTCTTGTGTTTCGACGGAAATGCTGGGCCGGCGAGGTGCCTCGGACCCGGCTAGTATTTCAATCCGATGGTAGTCCAATTGTTCGTCCTCTAGCTGTCCGTCGGAAGACGACGGGTCCGATAATATTTCATCGGGTCGCATCAGCTGGTGCAGATACTGCATTAGCTCAACCTTTTCAGGTTTGTCTACTACATCATCACATACCTTCTTTGGATCTTCTGTTGGCTCCATGCCTATTGCAGCCCGCAGTTCTTTGTTTAATCTTTTATTTTTAACATAAAAAAATTGTTTGTGTTTTAAGCAATTACTTTAATATATTATAGAATAGTAAAAAACCATAAAAACTTACCTTTCAGCGAAGTCCACGAGATGTTTTTGACATTCCTCGTCCCACGTTTCTGGCAAATCTGAAAGCTCGTCCTTAGAACACTTACTGGCCTTTTTATGTTTTTGAATCGAACCGAGACTTGGACTATTTCGAACTGCCGTCCCTTTGTTTGGATGTTCTTGCAGACTCCATCGGTTAGTATGATTTGGTTGATCTTCTTTAAGGTTATGGTCTTCATTTGGAATAGGACCTTCTTTTAGGTTGTGATCTTTTTTTGGACTGAGATTTTCTTTCGGACTTGGGTCTTTTTTCGGACTGGGATCTTCTTTCGGACTAGGATTTTCTTTCGGACTGGAATCTTCTTTCGGACTGAAGTCTTCTTTCGGACTGGGATATTTTTTTGGACTGGGATCTTTTTTTGGACTGGGATCTTCTTTCGGACTGGGATCTTCTTTCGGACTGAGATCTTCTTTCGGACTGGGATCTTCTTTCGGACTGAGATCTTTTTTCGGACTGGGATCTTCTTTTGGACTGGAATTTTCTTTTAAACTAGGCTCTTCATTCGAGCTAGAATCATCTTTAGGGCTAAGGTCTTCTTTATTGTTCAAATTTATTTTAATTACTATAGATTCTGAAGAACAAGCTTGTTCTAAATTATTATATTCCATTAAAATTCCATCCTCAGGTCTCGCAGAAGTTTCTGCATCGAAAGGTTTATCAAACTCAATATCTACAAAAAAATGTTCAAGGTTAAGTAATTATGTATAATATTTACATATCAAACTTCTTACACGCTAGAAAACAGCATGGAGAAAAATTATATGATAGACACTGATACTAAAAATACGCTAAGAAAGGTATGGCTCTGATAGGAAGATAATTGCATGGCGAAATATTTTATAACCAAAAATATGAGCAGAAAAAAAGAATTAGCATTAGAAATAGATGGGAGTATATTTAATTGGGGTGCTGATTTCAATAGTTTTAAAAATAAGTATGAAAATACTATCATAAAAATAAAGAAAATATTTTAATGTACATTAATTACCTGTAATTTTGCGTTCGTCGTCCACCACTACACTTATAACACTGCTTACAGAATCAGAGGAAGACGATTCCACATCACTATCTATATCGTCTATTTCTGGATGAAATGTTTCTTCAACTGTTTTAATGAAGTGTCTACCTCGTAAACCAGAAAAAGTTCGATCTGCTTTTGGTAGACGATTACGCCCAGTTACTAAAAAACAACAGTTTTTTTATAAATTAATTATGATCAAAATGTATTTGATAAGAATATACCTGGTTTATTATTTAAAAGAAGATCTTGAATTTGTTTAAGCTTTTCTGCACTAATTCTTTCTTTAGGCCGCGCATTATGATCTCCACCTTCACAAACATGATCTCTACGTTCTAATTCTTGATCCTTTTCTTGTTCTCTTTTAAGCTTCATTTCTATAGCTGTTTTTACTGGTGATAATTTAATAGGCTTCAAAATATCATCTACTTGTTGTTCTGTTGATAAATTTAACTGATATTGTTCATTTCCATTTTGAGAGTTGAACCTAGTTGGTAATTTAAAATGAGATGGGTGAATAGGTGCTGTTTTTGGCGTATTTGGATGTGAAGATGACCTGTATTGACTTTGAGATTTAGCAGTGGGTGTGCACGGAGCTGTTCGTGCTTGTTGTTCGACTAATGGTGGTGAACATGTCTTGTCAGATCCACCGGTCGCATTTACAAAGATAACAGATGCTAAACTACTCAAACTGTCTTCAGAATCAACACTAGCATCACTCTGTAAACTGTCTTTAGACGAATCTTCTGAAGAACCATCTTCACGGGAACTTCTACGTCCGTCACAACACGTTGTTGTCACCAATGCGGGAACTGGCATTTCTATTTTTTTTTCATCACTAACCTTTTCTTCACAACCTTCCTTATACCCTAGCATTCTACTAAGTCCACTTTTAATGTTGTCAGATACCTGACTGGATGGATTTTTAAATGTTTTTGTAAATCCTGTTTTGAGCAATTGTAATGTATCTTTAATGGATTCTAATGTACGTGTGCTATACATTAGCTCTTCGTTTAATGATGCTTGTCTTTGAATGTTCTTTTGTACAATTTCTTTTTCCTTGAGCCTTTCCACTGACATAAGTTCTTCATTCATGGATCTTTGTTTAATTTCATTACTTTTATATCTATATCTTTTTGAACCACTGCAAACATCAAATTGAGGTAACTTATTAACCAAATCTTTCATGTCAGTAGCTTTATCTCTATCTTCTTCTGCATCTTCATCACATAAAGATTGTTTTTGTTTTACTAATTTAGGTTTTGAATGCGCTAATGGCATTGATTTTTCCAATTCCGGTATACTTGACCTCGATCTTACCATCCGTTTTTCCGCAGTGTTTTTTATATCGCTTAAACTCTTAGATTTGTGCGTAGAGGTTCGATTGAATAGTGTTGTTGAGTCTGGTGTATCTTCCATTCGTCTAAGTTCTATGGGAACATTTAGTACGTCTTCGTTGCAAGTCTCACATCCTTCAGGATCTGAACGCAGCACTGACGGTAATTCAGTACCATAAAGTGATGACCAAGAACTAACAAACCAAGGTTTTGATGTTACTTTACCTCGCTTAGTTGAACCGGCAAGCTTCTGTAACAAAGCCAGTCCATGTTAAACGCATACATGATATTTTAAAATCATCATAATAACAATTAACCTGTATTGCTTTACGAACAAAACTATAGCAAGTTTCAGTCCCTGGACTCGATAAACTAGAACTACTCGGGGAACTCGTTATTCCTTTTCTCCAATTTGATTGTTCCTTACGCTTATTTTTTCTTTCACAGCACATTTGGATACTCCTATGCATTAATAGTATTTAAATATATTATGTTCCTATTATAATATGTACAATATTAATAATTAAATACTAACGTTGTTGAATCGGAATTAGATTTTTTTCTCGTGCTAATGTATTCTTCATCAGACGTAGTTGTGGTTGTAGAAAATTCTGTCGATTCACTGTCTAAATTTCTACAGGGCTTGTGCCAGGGCATTAGAACATCTTGAGATTCAAACTACGAAGATTAAATATTATTTTTTGCAATAATCTAAATTACAATATTAATTTTTAATACTTTTCTATGGCGTCGTTCCATGGCCCACACTGTAATTATTATACGACCACCAATTCTAAGTACCCTAGCTAGTTCTCGTAAAGCACACACACGTCTTTCTGTTGTTGAAAAATGATGAATAACAGCTATAGATAATACCGCATCTAAACTACAGTCTTTGAATGGCAAGGTTAGATTGTCACACACCAATACCTAGATTTGAATTTATTAACAATTTAGTATTTAGAATTTATTGTTTCTAAATGAAATTAAATATTACAACGATTCAATACATTTTTTTTAAATGTATATAAGACGTGTAAAAGTACAATATTTACTTCACTGTCTTGACTTCTAGCTATTTCAGTTAACCTTAGGCAACGATCAACGCCTACTTTGAACACATGTGGGTTGGTCGATAAATATTTTCCTGTACCACAACCTAAAAATTAAAATAATATTTACAACTTATTTATTATTTATTAGTTTGATATTAATGAAAAATATTGAATTGTATAGTAATTGAAATTATAATTAATAATTAATATCAAAGTAATATTTATATGGTATTTCAAAATTTTAGGTTACAAATTTATTTTAACGATTTAGTACGTATCTATAGAATAGGTGTATAGAATGTACTAATATTAAGTTGTTTGGTACAGTTTTTTATCTATGACTATTTCATTATTTACTAGCAATTAGTAGTGAAATTTGAAAAACACCTAAAGAGTACTAAGAATATGAAAAAAAAACTAAGACAGTCACCCTATTAAAACCACGGAAAGAGGCGTTCAGACTAAAAAATTACTAGTAAGGAACTTAGTTCTTTTATACATAAAAATTGTATGAACAAAATGATCTCAACCACTTTATATACAAGTCACAAAATAAAAAAAAAAAACTAATAAAAGAAGAAGCTGGTTTTAATCCCAGGAATTTATGTACTAGTAATATTAAAAAAAAGATTTAACTGAAGCTTAATGCATCCTAATACAGTTAACCACAGTATAAATCATAATGCTTTCAAAATTGTATATGATGATAAATGGCTACAGATTTGTAAACATTTTAGAAACATTTCTCAACAACTAACGATATTTTGTGGAATTACATTAAAAAAAATAAATTATCATAGAAAGTGTCTTAGCTCTTATAATATTTAATATATAAAGCAACGATCGCCCAATATTTAATGACCATAACATAAAGCACTTTAATAACTCTAATAACTATGCTATGATTGAACAGGAAAATAAATTCGAAAAAGTTAAATCTAAACTGTGATGCGATCAATAAGATAGGCGATGACTACAGAAATAATTAACGACTAAACCCGATAAAAACTGAAGTATGAGCATTCTATTTAAAATTAGAGAAGCCAAGTAAAAATTAATGTCCGGCGGGATTGCATTGAATTTGAAAATAATTAAAATCCTGAATATTTAAGTGTTAGTTGAAATATATTATTTACGTGTAAGAAACATTGCAAAAAACAAAGTTAAAAATAAACGTAAAGAATGGTATACTATGAAAACTTGTAGAATCAGTATTAACAATAAAATATTTTGAAAGAACGACTGGCGCTATATCTTTATGTTTTTCTATGATGGAATATGCGAGTGAAGTATGTATCACTCAGTTTTTACAAACGGACTGGATATGATAATAAATTAAGTGTGTAAAATAATTTGCTTAAAAAACCCTGCAATTAAAAATTGTCAATACTATTCAGTAACCTCCAATTTACATTAAACGATTACCTAGTTCAAACAGATTGGGAAAAAACAAATATTAAAATAGACACCTTTCATTGTTATGCATGGACTTCAAATCCTTAAACATCGATTTTTGGCTAAAGTTACGTAATATTTTCTTAAAAAGAACTATTAAGCTAAATAAGTGAATCAATACAAGAGAAATGAAAAGTGGAAACGAATTCAGAAGACCTATATCTAAACTAAGAAAAACTTTACTAGCTGGATATAGGAATCTATAGTAGATCTGGAAATCTGAACAAACTAATAACTGATGTAGAATACTGTAAAGTTAACACGAAGTAACAGGAAATATTGGATGATGAGTGATGACAACGCGACACTCTTATCTAGCCAACAGCAAATGATCCGCCAGTCACCTGCAGCTTGAGTGTCCAGGCTGTATGTACATTTGCTCTAAATCATATGCTGACAAACCAAGAGGCCATTTACGTAACTTAATACTGGATAATGTATCATATACAACTCACCAATTCAAAAAGATTATAACATACTGTGATTTTATATTATACAATATTATATTATTTATATTACTACATGTGCCATTATTTATTTTAGTATTTATTATTATTTTATAATTATTAATTTGTTATTTTGAATAGTTGCCCGATATGAAAAATAACGAAATTTATGAATTATTAAGATTGATTAAAAATAGATTAGAAAAAATAATTTATCTATTAACAATGTATTAAAACAATCAAATTTTTTTTTATTGAATATTCAAATTTTGTATATTTCAATGTATAAACATACTTATATACAAAGATATTGAAAATTCACCGTTCTTCCAAGTCCTCAACCAAGGCCCAGGGTCACCACCGTCGCAGAAGATAATTTCATCTGTTTACTGTGCAGGTATATGGCGCAGTTTTTTTTTTTTATTATATACTCCGTAACTCAAATTTACTAATTCTATATAACAATAAATCATATTTTCTCGTTTATTAAATATAATTAATATATTTTAACTTCAAGTTAAAAGACACGTTGTTTTAAAATTTAATGTTTTTGACACCATAAGTTTAGCAAAATCACGTCTCGCAATTCACGTGATCCTATAATGTGTATACCGCCATATACGAATACATTATAACTTTTAAATGTTAGGATTTGCATAGTATTCTAGTTAATTTAATCTCAGAAGTTAATTAAATTTATCGTTAAAACAAACCCGGCCGGCTTATACAATATTAATCCTATTAATCTTAAACTAGGTATATAGTATAGTATGATGTTTGTAGGTCATACGAGCGTGACTATTTTTCCAGTCGAATGTTCAGGCGGAATAAAATTTGAATTCAAAAGAGCACAATATCAGAGAAACATTTCGATAACTTTTTGACTCGATACGCACAGGCAACATGCACGCTGCTAAGTGTAAATAGGTATGGTTCTGTGCACGTTTAAACACAACAGCACATTTTAAACAATTTAACGTTGATATCTCCAAATCGTCATCATATAATATTATCTCGCTCGAAACAATATAATTACACATACGCACGGAACTGGTCGGAGAAGAAAAAACCACCGTTGCACGTATGTACCTATATGTGCTCCGGAATTTCGGTGCATCTTACAACGTTTATACGTCTATCATCTACAATAAACGTTTGGCTGCACAATTCACACGGCGATTGATTTTGTCGGTTAGGTATCGACGGCATCGTACTATTATTATCATGATATCTCACTCACCGATGTCGCACACGAGTGATCCGGGCTCCAAGTCGTGCAGGAACTGCGTCACCTTCGGCCACGGTTTGGTCTTATGCGTGGGATGGTACATCTCCTGGTAAGTGTCGTGCACGTAGGCCTTCTCCAACTCCAAGCTCCGGGCTAGGCGGTCGGCCCTGTCCATGGCCCCGGCCCGGCTCGCCACCGAACCACCACGTCTGCAACCGCGCGCGGCGAGATGATACCGTTATTACCATATATTCGGTAGGTACGTGCGCTGTGCAAAGGCGAACGGCCGAGCGACAGCGTCGGCGAACGACCACCACGATTACCCGACATCCGAAGCGTCTGTAGGTGAGGTATACGCGGTAATACACCGCGCGCTCGGTAAAACGGCCGCCGTCTGCGCCGATCATTATTCATCCCGGTGACCGGGTCATGGCGGCGTGGGTATCATGACGTCACGGGAAGCGCGTGACTTGACGTCACCGCCGCTAGCCCCCTCTTCGCACGTATTGATCCCTTCCTCTAGCCCGCCGTCTCACACACACAACCGATACGACGGAAATCCCTTCGCACGCGAACCCGCCACGACCCGTCCACCCCCCCGCTGCCGGTGTGTGTTCTAAAATACAGCCCACGAAACGCTTACGTAATAATAACTTGTTACACCGTAATAAAATGTATATAATTTTTTAATTTACAAAACGTCACGTTAAGTACGGTCGTTATATCATTAGGTATATTGTTATTATCGCCGTCATACGCGGATGCGGACGCTTACACATTTTCGGCGTACTCCGCCGCCGACAGACCGTCGCACGCGATACGACCGACCCCACGGCCCGCGGATTTTCACGATCGAACCGAAACCTTCACGATAATATTGTTTACGTTACGGGAAAAGAAGAATCGTATTGGGCGCACCCGGAAATCCGCGTCGATTCGATCGTATTTTTATCATCGCACACGGTAATATCGTCTGGTGCAGTGGCAGTTATAGCAGTCCGTACACCGCGATATCGACCGAGCCCCAGAGATAATAACGATATTGTATTTCGCGGAAAAGCTGTCGCTCGCAGTCCGCCGCAGCACAATAAATTCATATTAAATACGATTGCGGGTGGACGAGGAGAAAACACATCATAGAATCAATTTTTGCATAAAAAAATCACATTAGAATTGCATAGTAAATAATACTTAAACGTACCTATAGGTAATAATTATTGCTGTTTGCAGTGTTATACATTAATATAATGTATTAATTCCACAATCGCATGATATATATATATATATATATATATACATATATTATTATATTTCGTATGTAATAATTTATTAATATGTTACTCACTTAAAGTTATAATGGCGCTTTTTGTTTCACTGTCGTCATCATCACATCGCGATGTGTATGTGTGTAGGTGTTGGACGACGACTATACGAAGTTATCGCATGTATGGTATATATTTATCGATATACCCCGGCCGACTTACCTGTATATACTTCTTTGTGCAAGCCGCGTTTAAAAAAAAAAACACTCACACACGCCCGCGCGCCGGCGGTAAATTTTCTATAATTTTATTAAGTTATCAGTACTAATATTAACGTTATGATATCACAAGCGTAAAACAATAGTCGAAATATTTTTGTTTCCTGTATGGCGATCGAACGGTTTTTGAATCGTTTAAATTTTTAATTTATTTCTTGAAATTATTTAAACTTATTTTTTGGCGGCGGGGGAAAAAATGTAAAAAAAAAAAAAAAATAAAAAAATAAATAAACAAACAAACCGAGAGAGCTCCGAGGCGAACGTCGGACGCCTCGTCTCGGAGGAATTACGGAAACAAACGGGCACCGCTGCGGCGAACGTATAATATGCAGGGGAGTGATAGAGAGCACATGCGCCGTATCGTGGTGAACGACCAGGCGCAATGATGATGTCGATCACGCGCGCGACGTATTTCGACTTTTATAGAGGTACACGCGCGCGTAAATAACTGACCGCACGCGACTCCTGCTGTAATACTGTAATAAAAGTAATAAAAAGACGTCTAAATAATATGTGAAAATAATGATAACATTTTACGCCTTTAAAATGCGTACAAATAATAATTTATTCTGATTGTCTAATATCTGTAAGCAACACGTGTATAATATTGTGTTAAACAACTGTAATACGAATATTGTATTTCTGATTTAAAAATATAAATTAAGCAAAATGCCGATTCGTTCTCCTGTTAACTTTGTATAATATTCAATATCAATAAATAGCGCGCGTGTAATTAATAATATTAAAAAAGCCGCGTTTATCGATAAAAATATTCGTTGTTCGTTGATTTTTATGAATATTACGATAATATTATATTTAAAAGACTAATAATATTAAACTTCATCTAAAGTTGTCTGTGATTTAAAAAAAAAAAAATAATAAAAAATAAATACTAAATATCACTAAAAAACGTTAAAAAATTAAGTCTCTGTTGGCTGTTGTACAAATTATAGGTTATACTGAGACGAAAGATCATTGTATCGAAACCGCTTTAGAGGAAAAATTGTTGTACATCTAAATCGTATAGCCCCTTCTATTATAATGATATTATGTTATATATTTATACAGGCGGAACGATGATAGCATAAAAAGATTTCTTTAATTGACATAGCAGAGATCGAAAAGACGAAATGGCCGCAAGTCGTGTTTTCTATATATGCATCAACATATCGTATTATTAAACACAATTTAAATGTAATAATCGCATAGGTACGAATAAATATGACGTACAATATACTTAATATATTTATATATAATATTAAGTATATATATTATGTACACACACATTTCGTGATGTCTAAAAAAAACGTGAAACGAAATATGGCCGCAAACTTGTGGTATATACGCATCCAATTTACACAGGTACTATTACACGGCGTGTTGGTACTAACATTTATTTTGCACGAACGTTTTATTGGTTTACCTAATGTCCAATTATTATTGATATGCCATCGCCATCTTATTGTAACCATTTGTGTACAATATGAATTTGTTATAATAATGTTATTTTTTTTTTAAATCCCCAGTAAAATAAATAATTATAATACGTGAATTTTTCATCCGGTTTGTCACTGTCATATACTGCGATATTATAACCGTCAAGTTATACGAAATATTTATCTCTTATCTAAGGTACCTATATACTATATAGGTATTATATTCCAATATTTACAATCTACTTTCGTCGTGTTTAGTGACGATTATATGTTTTAATAATACTTTATACCGTTTTACCTGAATAATTTTTTGTGAAACTAAAATCATAGTGACAAAGACGTTAGTAATATTTTTTTAAATGATTCTAATCATCTAATCGTATTATACGATTGCACTCTACGTTTCGTAACAATAAGTATTAAAAATTATATTATTATTTATGTTACGTTGTTAATGGTGGTTATAAATGATGACATTTTAAATTTACAGATACCTATGAATTAAGAAGTCGGACGAGGAAATCATTAAAGTTTTATGACTATTGATTATAACGAAGAAAATAATAAACGAAATCACGGCTGTAGAATATAGGGTAAAGAGTTCAGGAGTGACGACGATTTGTTTAAACCTGAGACGACGTCATGCAGTTAAACGTGTGTACTTGCGCAGTATTCCATCTGTAACACGCGCAGACTCTAATCGTCGCTGCAGCATGGAAAATGAAGTGACCCAAATTTATTATCACCGGCCAATATTTTATATACCAGATCAGATATATTTTTAATGAAAATTATTATTGATTTTACATTATACAAATCCCAAGGCATTCCTAGTTCCTATACTGGTGACTGAAACATAATGTTATAGTATACTATCATGTACGTACCAATATACTTACATAATGGTAAAATATTGGGTTATATTTTCTTTTTAATTTATTATAGATTCTTGTAATTTTAACAGCTAGTTGATCACCACCTATCAACGAAAACTTTTATCAAGTTATTTAGCAAAAAAAAAAAAAAATAATAAAAAGTGTGTGTTGTTCTCAATAAACTGTTATGTATTTTGATTTCGCATTTTAAAATCGAATTTAAATAAATACCTATTGGCTATTATGCATTCAATGATAGATTTTCTAAAAGAAAATTTTTAATTACAATATATATTTTTATTTTGTTTATTCCAAAGCAAAATATTTTTTGGAGTACTTAAATTTAAAAACATTTTGAACGAGTAGTTTATTAGTTTAATGAGTATTTAAAATTTCGATGAACAAAGTGGTTGGCATAAGGGCGTCCTACAAATTATTAGTCCACAGTGGAATATTCACTTAAACTTTAGTTATGTACTTTTAAACAATTAACTACTTATTCAAAATTTGATTTTGAATTTGATGTATCGATATACTCCTGATAATGTTTTCCTATGGAATATGAAATTAAAAATGTATATTTTCATTTAAAAAAGTAGAAAATTTAATAAAATATTTCCCTAAACCTTAATAGTTTAAAAAAAAAAAGAAGTTTTCTCTGATAAATGAATCACTTGATATTATGTTATTTATACTATTTATTGTAAATATTGTAATAATGTTTCTCTTACTTCTCAGGCCTTATTATATTTCTATTCTCAGAATTTATAAGTCTTTTAACCACAAAAATATGATATAGTTATTATATTATATGTTGATTTAAATTTTTAAAATCATAAATAAGTAGAGTATTAATAGTGAAACTTTCATATGGCGATTTTCTGTTTTGAGAATTATAACCAAATTTATTAAATTCTATTTAAGGGATTTTTCTAAAGTACGAATTATTTATCTTGTATACCTCGGAAGTTTCACTGAATTATTATCAATAAGCGTTCAATTGTTATTTTCTAGAATTCTGCTGTAGCTCGATGTTCACACCATGTTAATAAATTTTATGTATGTTCCTATAATAACTTACTAGTAGACTATTGATTTTTGACTTAGAATGGGTATTTAATAGCGTGTGGGATGACATTATAAACACCACTATGAGATGTTTATATTAATATTATTATGTACACTGAGCGTTTAAGCACATATACTGTAACAATCATACTGTTATAAAAAAAATTTGACAAATAATTTAATTGTATAATAATAATATGTAATAAACACGCTAAAAAATATTAAATTTAATATGTCATGTTATATACTTATGTATGAACTACTTTTTTAGCTTTTAGATAAATTGTTTTTTTTTTTTTAGATAAAAATTAATATTCAACAGTACCCACAAAATACAATAAATATTAATTTACATGGAAATAAAATTACCTCTACACACATGGCATACCGGTATCCCACACGAAACTCGATGTATTCTCAACGCCTATATGAACGTACACAGTTTGCCCACTCCGTATTCAAGAAGTATTAAATTAAACTTAACCTTAAAAACTTTGGAAGTTTTTATACGTTTATTATTTTAAAAGACGTTTATTGGATATTATTATCACATTAAAACTATTCCATACTATTTACTATTTTATGTGGTATAACTATAATAAATTTGATATTATAAAGTATTAATGAATTTATATTTTATATTGTGTTTATCACGGAACATATTATTATAATTTTAATTAATGATAATAGTTATAATATTATTATTTTATTGTGTTCAGTAAAATATAGTTTTTTTTTAATCGGTTATACTGCTAGAATAGATGGAATAAAATGAGCATTACTTCCCCTTAAATAAAATATAATTATATTTAATATTTTGTAAAAAAAATATCAAAGAAAAAAATTAATATAATATAATGAATTAGATTAAAACTGTAAATATATGTGTAATATGTATAATATAGTAAATCATTATGTAAATTATAAATAATAATGCATAATGTATATTATTACATTGAAGACTAATATTGGTAATAACCAATACTTAAAATAATTTGATTTTGTTTGTAATCGAGTAACTTTAGTCATAACTTCTTATATTAATTAACAATATTGGTATTACCTACTTATTACTATTATTGATCATTGTGATATATTTAGTTATTAATTTTATTACATTTATAAATGTTAATATGTCCAAATAATAGTTCTAAATACTTAGACTTAACAGTCTTTCATTGGTGTATTTGTACATTATAATTTTTCACAATAGTTGATTGTGGGCCGCAAGGCCCTAAAATGAACTCGAGCCGTAGGGGATAAGACTAATATCCCAGTTGACCAATCCCATAAAGAGTGATGTAGCTACCCAGAAGGCAGAGATCACCTCTGGGCACAATGCTTTCATTACATTTCAATTACACAGAATATTGGAATATTTATAATATATTATTACTATACACTATATACATTTAGTGTTTATTGTACAAAAATAATTAAATTACTCGATATAAAGATGCATTAATTAAATTTCTATTTTTTAAAATATGAATTTGAATTAAGCTAATTATGGAGACGTAAAAATCTCAGATTTAGAAGTATTATTTAAAAAATATATTTATCGTCTTTTTTACAGTAACACACACATATTATTAAAATATTTATTTTTTGTGTTTCTGAAAAAATTTTCTATTTAAGTTATGAAAGTAGTTAAACTGTTTATAATGTACAAAAACCATATATTTTAATATTTTTTCTTATCATAGTGATTAGTCAGATTTTATCTTTTTTTTTTTAACGATTTTAGTACTTATTCATATGTAGGTGTTTTTTATTTCATAATATTCTGAAGTAGAATATGTACTGTAGTTCTGCTGAACGTAACTAACTATTGTAAATTAATTTTGCTAGTATGTCCATGACAATCATGCTGGCTAATGGTTATATTTGCCTAA